TTTCTTCTTTCAACAAAAAGTCTATAAAAGGTTTCCAGTCTTTCAAGAAAGGCTTTATTTTTTTTTTTCTCTGACCAAACTGGTCAGCTTTGCCCCCTAAAATAGGTGGCATGAATGAAATAAATATATTCCTTTACTATTATGGTTTGGGTTTTTTAATTATTATTTATTATGCTTGCATTGCATTTTGGGTGTGACCTTTTTTTTTTCTTACAGGAATGGGGAAAACTAGTAAACATTGTAAATATTTTTAAATGATAAAACTTAACAGTTGCTTGAGCACATTCTGGGAAAAGAAGGTCACCACCTCTCTGAATAAATGGTTCTGCTCTCAAACTGTTCTTACTGTTATGTAATTTTTTTCTTACTTTGGAATCTGCCTTCCTGCAACTTAAATCTCTATTTTTCCATGTTTTGAACTCTGGAATGAGGGAGGACAGATCTTGACTTTCTTCTGTGTGACATCCTTTCAGGTATTTGAAGAGTGTTATATCAACCTTCAGTCATCTCTTCTCAACGCTAAACATACCCATTTCCTTCAATCTTTCTCCACAGGGCTTAGTTTTTAGTGCTCTGATTATTTCTATTGCCCTTCTCTGAACTTCTTTCAGTTTCTCTGAATCTTTCTTAAAGTGTGTTGCCCAGAACTGGACACAATTGATGGCATCTGACCAAAGCAGATAGAATGTGGAATAATTACTTTCCATGATTTAGAAATTATACTTCTGTTGATATAATCTAAACTTGAATTTATCTTCTTTGCAGCTACACTCCTGGCTCATATTCAAATACTATTCCCAAATATTTTTCACAAGTACTGTTACTAATCCATGTATCCCATATTCCAAGTGATATAGAAATTTTAATGAGCTAGATACCTATCCTCCACATTGTGATGCTCAATGTAATTTCAGGTCTAGAAACTCAGTATATTTAAATGAAGAAAACCTAGCTGGTTGAAGCATTATAAAGGCCCACTGTAGGCTTCCATAAAGAGCAAAGGCTAGCAGAGCCGATGAAAGGAATATGTTTTCTTTCCATTCTTTTTGGCTTCTTTCTAAGGTTAAAGCATTGGGCAAAACTGAAGTGGCTCAAAATCAATTGAGGAGGTCATTTGGAATGAATTTTTTTAAAAAAGGGAGAGAAACCGCCAGTGAAAAAGCTGGGAGGTTAAGATGCCATTAAAGCAGAACACTGGTTATTTTAGGTTAAGTTATTAGAACCATTATTGGTCACTGTGTTTTAAATTATTACTTATGCTGATTGCAATTTTCATTAAAGAAATCATATTTACTAATTTCAGCTGGTGAACATGCTGTGGTCTGAAAGTTCCTACAGTATCTTATTTTGTCATGTTAGTTTATCTGAATTTACACATTCAGCCATATCAAAGCAAAGTCTTACTCTTCCCTTTACACAATGGATTGTCATAGCAATTTATTTTGGAAGTGGCAGGGGAAAGATTTAGGAAGTCTGGACTCAATGAACTGGCTACAAAATTATTTGGTGACGAGGACAAGGGGCTCCAAAAACTCAAGTGAAAAATAAGAAAAATCTGTTACCACTACCTAATCCTTGCCAAGTTAGGAAAACAAGCTGGGCAAGAACTATTTCACAACTCCTACCACAATGGAAAGCTAGCATCAAGTGAGATAGTCAGTGGCACCCAAAAATGAGATTCTCGCTGGCTTCTTTAACTTGATTTATTGAAAGGAGAAAGGGATTAGATTACAGACATACCAATACCAGGATGGTTTTTGTGTCCAGAAGCCATTTTATCTCCCAGCCTGCTAAGGCAGGAACTTTCTCAGCCTCTTAACCACCATGTATGAATGAGCAAAAAGGTTGTTCTTTTAACTGATAAGAGAGGAGTGTTCACATGTCCAGAATGGGAATCTCTTTCAGGCGCTGAATTTACCATTTTGATTACACAGTAAATGGGGCTCTCAGCCCCATTTTACCTCCAAAAGCATCTTTGTCAGTATAAAAATAAGCATGAATGTTGCTGCATTCGTCTACATAAGGAAAAACAGTAATATTAATTTGAGGGGAGATAACATGAGCATTAATCTTAAGGTAAAACCAGTAAATATATTTATTAATTTTTAATGTGTGTTAATAGTTGTGAGCACAGAAATATAATGTAAATGCTGATTTGGATAATTTATTCCAAGGCCATGGATATAATTTTGCATATTAGGACATCAAATGTATTTTGCTGATGCCCCCCACCATGATTCATGACATGTGAATATAAGAATACAGTTCCCGACTGCATTTAAAAATGCAGTTTGTGCATGTTAAATTTCCTGAACAATGAAGAAAGGGGCTCATGTATTAAAGTATTCTCCAAGCCTATAATTTTACTGTAAGGGCTATTATTACTTCATAAACTGCAAGAATAAAGCTCAAACAGGGTTGTGTATTGAATTCAAAAGGTTAAATTACAGGTTCTGC